CGGTCCATGCAAAGATCAGTGTCTGAACCGAGCCTTCTTGCGATCCTTGCACAACCGCCTTGTTTATCTCCGATGATCGGCATCACCTCGAGTGACCACCACTGCTCGAATTCGAAGAAAACATCCAATTTTTGGTATAAAATTGAATCTCGTATCTTATCTTCAGTGAGGAACCAAATGTTTTCAGTAGCTATGTGCATTTTGGGCATGCGGGCCGGTGGCTCGCGCGCGTATTGTGCTCATACGAACTCGAGCCAAGCGTGTTTTTGGGATTCTTGTGACGTCAGCGCAAGAAAAAAGGTGTATGTGCCGCTTGGACAGGGTATGGTTTTAGTTCTATTTTTAGTTGCTATTTTTTTTAAGGTATTTTCTTATTGACGACAAATTAACAACATTAATACAGCGCATAACAAAAAAAATAAATTAATAAGTCAGTAAGTAACAAAACTTAATAACAGCGTCAACACACAAAAAAGTAAATCTGGTAAATAAACAAATAAGAAAAAATTACAATAGAAATAAAATCTATTGGATGATGAAAGCCTGTCAGTTGCCACACTTCAGTATTTAATATTCTTTGACACAATTTTCGATGCGATATTTTTCAAAAATCTCACGTAAAAATTCATCTAAATTAGGTTTCGTTCGTTGTTCCTGCAAGTATACAGTTGAGTTGAATTTGACATCTGCAATGGAAAGGAGTCTTCGAACGTGTTAAATAAACTTTGCTTGTTTGAAAGTTGTACTTTCTCCTTGTGATATTCATTACCCTGCGAGCAGTGGTTTCTCCAGGCCGGACGCTGCGCAACGTCCGGCCTGGAGAAACCACTGCTTTTTGGAAAGGTATTAATAGAACTACAACCTGAGGAGGCACTACCGACTTCCGACCTCCTACTGTCAAATCCCTTCTTCCGGCTTTCAACAAGTTTAGGACTTTAGACTTCTCATTTTTGAGGAACTTCGATGGAACCGGTCGGAAAAATACACTGCTAACAATGAAAAGACACATTGTTTTGTGATGCGAACTTAAGTGTCATTGTCTGAGAAAGTGTTCCAGGGGCCAAAAGTTGTGGTCAACCGATTTGGCTGAAACTTGGCACAGAAGTTGGGTATAATGAGATATTTCAAAAGCCACTTTGGCTCACTTCTCTGAGTTTTAGTTTTGGAGTTACAGGGGGGGTCTCATTTTTTGCCCTTTGAGCACCAAAAATCCAGCCTTCCAGGGGGCATTTTGAAAGTGTGATAAGACCCCACTGGTAAATTGTGCTGCCAAATGAATTTGACAATGAACTCTACTATAATAGAGCTTTCAGTTCATGCATGTAACTTTGTCCTCAAGGTATTGCACAGAGAGGAGCCTGGGGCTAGAGTTTGGCCAAAATTGATGTTAAAATTACAACCCAAAATAGCCGTTTTTCAAAATTTCACTATATTCACCTACCTTCTTGCATAACTTCCAAACCTATACCACTGTTTACTTTAGTCACCCAGTTATCAAAATCAGTTGAGAAAAATTTGGCTTATTATGGTTATTGAATTTTTGGAACAAACACTTCATGCCCCTCTAAGGCGATGCAAAATGGAATTTTGAGTCTAATTCAGGCCATAAACAAACCAAATTGTTGACAAGAAGCCCTTATTTTGTATTTGGTAAGTGAAAATGAATTGTCAAAGCCAAATCAGTTTCGTTGTTTAAAAATACACGGATTCTTACCTTAAAATTGATCTAAAACGGGCCTCTGATTAGCGCAACAAACACATAATTTAGCAACACAAAGGTGATTTTATTCTTTGAATACCTAGTAACCACCATAGAACACAAATGATGATGTTCTGATGTACAAATAACAATCTTTTTACAAGATGCTTAAATTTTTCTTTGATTTATAGTCAGTTTCACGTCATATTTCCAAGCATTACTCCAAGCATGGAAAGTCTCCATGCTTGGAGTCAGGCCCATTTTTTAATATTTTTACCAGATAAATTTAGCTTATCAAAAGGTTCGTTAACATATAATCTCCGTCTGACCTTGTAATAGCCTGAATAGTTGTTTTAAATACCCATCAGCAAAGGAGCATGACCATACATACGTAGATTACACAGACATATACGAGCTTCATTGAGCGGTATCGAGGTGAACTGTGATTTTCCGAGTCCTTTAGAGCTNCAGCACAAACGACAGCATGCCAAGTAAGTATCGATACGTCCTCAATGATTCGATCGACCGAACTGAAAACGGCACGCAACTTTATTTGTGTGTGTAGGCATGCAGAGTTGTTACACCCTCCTACTGAAATTTTACGGCCGAATCGAAATGTGGTAAAATTTATCAGTTAGAGACGGTGTGGTACAGGTCTTTAGGGCCGTGTGTTATTACACAGCTCACTGATTAGTCATTTGGTTAACATTACTACGCTTGAATATGATATGTTTGCCTTATTTTCAAAACATGTCTTTTTTACTGACTTCGAATAATTAACTGTCAGCATGGTCAGTCTTAAAACAATTACATCGCTATCAATCTATAATAAGATAAAGAACGGGAAATATGCACTGACAAAGTGTAGTGATAAAAAACGAGAGTCTGAGAGTTACATAATATATGTATATACGCAGTGGAGATAACAACAGCTGAACAGGATATACCCCAAATCGGCTTAAATCTCCCAAACGCCAAAGGTTAACTATGTTTTTAGCCTTCTTTAATTTCAAAGCTAAGACGTTCCACCACGCATATGGCTTAGAAGAAATATCATATCGGGTGTAAACAGTGGCTTCAGTGAGACATTCAATACAGACCGCAGTTTACTGCCCAAGACTTCCGGACTGTCTGATCTGTCGTAACAACTCGGCTTAGCAACGAAGCCGGTGACATCCCGTAGTCACACTTCCCGTAAGCGACCACCACAAATGCAAGGTTTACTGGTCGCTTTTCTTTTACGGAAATTGACCAACTAGAGTCTTCTCCTAGAAGCTTGAGGTCCGGTCACATCTACGTCTTGAATTAGGAGAGAATTCTTTACACTGTTTACTCGAGTTTACATTACATTTTCTAAGTAAAGATATGCGTAGTTGCCACTAAATTGCATTCTCTTGGAAGTGTAGTACATACAGCAAACAGAGATCAAATCATCGCTTATGCCAAGGCTAAACGTCGAAATTTTTCGGGTAACGAAGCCCCCTGCAATTTACTTAGGCCTCGGCCAAACGTCGAACTTTTTCATGAATCGAACCAAACTTAGGCTTTCAGGCTTTGGAGGTTAGTTTATGAAAGTTCGACTTCTGGCTTAGTCAAGTTCGTCTGAGTGAGTTTAGATCGTCCAACAAGAAACAAACGAAAATTCTAAAGCCGAGGCGGTCGTTTGCGAGAGGTTCCAACTGAAGTGATCTCACTGGGAATATTTTTGGATAGATGGTCGCTTATAGTGCATATAGTGCATTCGCATATCAGCCGCAAATTGTTAAAGAACAGAATAAAAAGAGAAAAATTGCCATAAACGATGCCGCAAATTGTTTTCGATTTGAGATAAATCTGTTATTATTATTTTTTTTTTACAGATCTTTAAATATGTAGAACTATCATATTAGGCCGTGACATTTTTGGCCTGGGGCGAGTGACGTATTTTGAGGCATTGTTCTTACGGTCCAGCACGCATGTCAGAGTTCGAGGTCGTATGGGACTGGGTCTCTTAAAAAGAGAATCCAAGCGGTTTCAATTCGCCACTTTGAGGTTGCGTGGGAGACCAGGTCGAGATGGTTGTCAAAGTACATTGTGGGACTGTTTTGGGGATCGAATCAGCCGCCATGTTGAAAATGCGTCTCCTAAAACAGTCCCACAATGCACTTTGACAACCATCTCGACCCGCTCTCCCGCTCAAGGATTGTATCTTTGAGGAAAGCGAGCCGTACGGTGCGGAGGAAAAGGGAAAAAAATTAAATATTATCAAAGATCGCTGCAAGCCCTCCTTTCTTTCCCGTTTACGTAAACCACGCGTCTCCTCTCGCGTCGTGTGCGTCTTTCTCGCATGTGACCCCTCAAGAAATCCACTCTGTCCCAGTGGTTGTTGGCTATCCACTTTGAAACCGCATTCAGGTTATTCTAAGGAAACCATCCATGAGCTAGTCTTAAGTACGGGGGTGTACTCACAATCGGATGGCCTATATACGGGGAGGCTCCGCCTGAAAGGGGTACACGGCCTTTTCTGGCTTCAGGTAAATGAAACTATAAAAGGGTAGGGATTTCACTAGTTGAATTATATTAAAGGACAGGACTAGGAAATTTGTCATTTCGGTTTGTAAAACTAAGCCCAGCCAAGGGCTAACCGATCTTTTTTTATGGCTGTGAAAAATTATAGAAAACGTTCCGGTTTTGTGACTTATTCGCATTTTAAAGACAGCTAGTGCATTTACAGCCGTTTTGTAACGGATGCAAAGATCTGAACCAGATATGTGAAAGGGGTACGCTTTATTGATAGAGGGTATACGAAAGGGTCGCCCTTTCTGTCAAAAATGGTATTAAAAAAAGAAAGGGGTGAGACCTCGGGGCGGTGCCCTCCCGTATAAAACTTTGTTGAGTACCCCCCCCCCCGGCTCCTTTTTCTGTTCTTCCTTTAGGTCCCTTGGATCGTGGGTGTCAGGAGTTGATTATTCCGGCTTGTAAAGACTTGGGTGTTTACTCACACACTCTTTTGTCGGAGTCAGTGCAGAAGCATCTATACCTGGCTTTGTGGGGAAAATCTTACAACAAAAGTGACCTGCAAAGGGATTTTCCAAAGGTGTTCGAAAACATTTTTGCAAACTATCCGAAGTGTCGAAGAAATGCAGAGACGTTATTTTGTGNAAGGGGTACGCTTTATTGATAGAGGGTATACGAAAGGGTCGCCCTTTCTGTCAAAAATGGTATTAAAAAAAGAAAGGGGTGAGACCTCGGGGCGGTGCCCTCCCGTATAAAACTTTGTTGAGTACCCCCCCCCCCGGCTCCTTTTTCTGTTCTTCCTTTAGGTCCCTTGGATCGTGGGTGTCAGGAGTTGATTATTCCGGCTTGTAAAGACTTGGGTGTTTACTCACACACTCTTTTGTCGGAGTCAGTGCAGAAGCATCTATACCTGGCTTTGTGGGGAAAATCTTACAACAAAAGTGACCTGCAAAGGGATTTTCCAAAGGTGTTCGAAAACATTTTTGCAAACTATCCGAAGTGTCGAAGAAATGCAGAGACGTTATTTTGTGGCGAGATGTTTCCCCCGTGTTTTCTGCATGAAACCAAGACCGTTTATAAGACTCCTTGTAGATCGCTGTGTAACGACATCGCCAGAGAATGCCCGGGATATTTCAGGTAAAGCTTTGATTAAGTACCGTGAAGTTTCGAAAGTAACGACCCTCGTTACTTTCGGATTTAGCACAACCTCGTCCCCAGGGCGCTTTCTCCACCTCCAAAGCCAGGGAAAAGCACCCTGGGGACGAGGTTGGATTTAGCAGCCTTTTCGCTACTTTCAGAGGGTCGCTATGTAGGATAGCTAAAACGCTGGTGTGCTGTCACGCATGGGCCGCTGGTTATGGTGATAACATGATCGCGACCATGTGAAAACCTCAACACTTTTTATTTGGAGAAACGTATTTCATGTTTCAAAAGAATTGTGTGATTAACGTGTCGTATTAACGTTTCGATTAACGTTTCGTATTCCCAGACGAAAGGAAGACTACAAGTAATGTATCTTTTTGGGTTACATAAAGGATTTTATAAAATAACTAAGATAGTACGCGCGTTCTGATTGTTTAAAAACCTATGGTTTATTGTGCCGGTAACCCACTTGGGTTGTTGGGGGAGCACTCGAAAAGCCTGTAAATCACTCGCCTTCGGCTCATTATTTACAAGCTTTTCTCGTGCTCTTCCAACGTCCCGCGTGGGCTATCACGCCGGTAAATCCATAAAAAGGGTGGTCTATTGCTTAAATTACCGTTAAAAGTAAACCTCGGATCACTAAGGTAAATTTTGCTGTCTCTATAAATTTCCCTTTCATTCCGGCACAGTTATCAAAGTCGATAACCTAGACCAAAACAAACTATTAGCCAATCAAACTTCAAGCAAAAAGGGAAATTACTTTAGAAGTCGCTACTATACTTTCGCGAGGTCGTTATTTTCGGGGGGTCGCTACTTTTGGCATTTGTGAACACTTGCGAAATTTCACCACTATAACAAAAAGGGAAATAACTTTTGAAGTGACTACTTTAGGAAGGTCGTTATTTTCGGAACGTTACGGTAGTATCTTATGGAGCGTTTTCACATGACGTCATGTTGTTCCAAAACAATGAAGCAGCGGCTATGTTGGTGTTTCAAGCCAATTGTACGGGTGTGTGAACTGAACCTGTTTCTCATATAAAAAAACTTTCTTATGTACCAATAAATTTGCATAGTTGCTGGTTACGTGAGTGAAAAGGCTCCATTGGCTGTTTCCAGATAGGAGTTTTAATTAAATGTCAATCTGGGACGAACTTGGACAATAGATTGACTAAATGTTGTAGCTGAAGAGGGTCGCAGTGGGGAAGTGATTTTGGCGATAAACGGTCGATATCCTGGTCTAACGCATTTAATGGTTAACCTCTGTTTTTCGTTATGGTTAGCCGAATTTTTACAAAATTATTTGTATTATAAAATTGGCAATGAACCGCTGAACCGGAACTAAGGCTGTCACGAAAGTTGTGCTAAGATGAAAACAGCGAAAATAGGACCCGCCTAATTTGTTTTGTTTGTTTGTTTTCCTTTCAGTAATGACTTCAATGAAGCAGAATATTGTGGTTTTCATCCAGAGGGAGACACGGACGATGTGTTTTGTGACATAAAGGAATGGCCTTCTCCATTTCATTTGCTTGATTATATAGGTCAGTGATTATTACATTGTTTGAGTGTGGTTTATACGGTCACATGCAAGAAGACGCACCATGACTATCGCGAGTATTTCCAGCAGAGGTGCTGTTTTCAGGCAATTTAGAATATTAAATATGTTCCGCCCTCCACGTTCTACAACTTAACCGAGGCTTTCAGTTCTTTGAATTTCCATTTAAGGTGTTTTCATTAGATCGGTGGGGTAACCTTAGCTAATAACTTGTAATCTGAACAAAGGTTACGAGGTGTGTACGGCAAATCTCGATACCAGGCTCTCTCTCTCTCTTTGGCTAGTCGGTGATGATGACATTCACCCCAGAAAAATGGGCGGGAATGTGATGCCAGATACGTGTTCCGTAATCCGTTCACCGGTTGTCCCTCGTCCCATACACTACTGCTCACTCAAGTTGTATTAGGGCTGTGTTCTTCTATGTCGAATCGAAGGCTAAACGTGAGACCCTTATATGGTCAATGCAATATATATGACAAAAGGCAACCCCCGCGAGGATGCAATGACAATTCCTAATTGAACCGTCATCCTCACCTTATAAAGGAGTAGTCCAGGATTGTTTTACGACGCCAAAGGAGTTCTTGTAATAAAATTTTCAAAAATGTGAATTTACTTGCGCAACGCTAGCATTACGCCAGAAATGGTTGGAGATGACCCTTCCAGGCTGTCTTTTTGCTATAGCAACAGCCAGTATATTGAAATTAAGTTACCCATTTCAGCTGTAGGTGTCTGATCAACTCAGTGTCAACTTTGCTTTTGGTTTTAACTTTTGTTTTCCACAGATCTCCTGACAACAACGTCAGCACCACCCAAGGAACCAAATAAGCAGGCCCCCAAAGGGTGGGTCATTGCTGTGGCAGTGCTGTCGTGCCTGGCAGTTGTGGGGCTCGTCTTAGGGGGCTTAATTTGGTGGAAGTGGCGAAGGACATCACCTGGAGTGGCGTACAAGAAACAGCACGATAGCCTGAATAGTTGTTTTAAATACCCATCAGCAAAGGAGCATGACCATACATACGTAGATTACACAGACATATACGAGCTTCATTGAGCGGTATCGAGGTGAACTGTGATTTTCCGAGTCCTTTAGAGCTAAAAAAAAGAAACCATCCATCCAATGTTAGGAGAGCTGGATAACAAAAAGCTTGTTTTGCTTTTCTAAAGAAAATAACCCAAACAAAGCCTTGCATTGAGATGATGCACTTGTTATTACATCAAGTCAGCTGGCCCGCCATTTTGGACTTGAAGAGTGTGGGGACTGGACCGAGTTCCCGTCCAATCCTTCCCCCGTTTCGCGGGAATTATCAGGTGTGTTCGAAATTCTAGAAAGCGATCTGTTTCAGGATAATTTTTCGATGGCACTTTATTCCTTTGGAGGGGTAAATGGCCAGTGCAGTGTCACGTCATGGGCTGTGCAAGAGACAGGAATGCTTCCTTTGTTGTCTTGCGATAGTGACATGACTGCATGGTTAAAGCACAAGTAGAAGGGTTCAGGTTTGTCCGGGGAAGAAGAGGAAGAACTGGTGATGCCAAAGCTACAGGTGATTCAAAATATCAGTTAGGGATCATACACGCGCACAAATGATTTTTATCGCAGTTTTACGGGACTCTTTTTCTTGAAGAAAGACAATGATATATAATTTACGATGTTGTCGTCTCAAATTGTTTGTTCATGCACATGCATTGATTGATTCCGATGTTAATTTCCTGGGTCCTTACGAAGAGCACTAAACATTCAACAAACTCATCGCAGCAATATCTTTATAAAAAAAATAACAATAACAATAATAGAAATAACTTGAAGGCTGTTTTTTGTCTGCTCGAGCTGTTTGTTTACATTCAGCTTGTTACGTGGGCACGCTTATCAAGCAAGGCTAAGTTTGGCAATGCACAATTCGAGCCAGCTTGCATTGAAACTCCAACGGTCTCCTTTATTTGCCTGTTTCGTCGAAGACAAGTCAACTTAAAGTAGGCTTAGCTACATAATTGCGCAGGAATTGTTTTGGGAATTTTGGACACGAAAAAGAATTTTAGAAAATCTCAAGAATATTAGAAATAAAATTGACAAATACTAGAACTTAAATAGCAGTATATATAGGAGAATACTGAATAGCAACATTTCACAGGCAGAATCGTTGAAAAGACGTTTTTATTTTTCTGTATTCCTACCAACCAAGAGAGGGCTCAGTCCACCCACATGCTACAGCAGTGTCTAGAGTACTGTTCACTGAGCACAACAAATCAGCAGTTTTTCATCAGAGGCTTCTACACTACAACTAATTAGCGGTTATTCACCAAAAGACGCCCTCGCTATCAAAAAAGAATAAAAATTTTATGAGTTTTTTTAGGGAATTTTAGAGAGTTTTAGCAGATAACACTCTTATTTAGGTATATTTTTTCATTATTCTTTTAATTGAATAGTTAACATTATTTTAAATAATTTTTTAATTAAATAATAAAACATTTTTTTCTACAAATATACACAAATCTTCCGTGCTCTTCCAGAACGATTCAGAGTCAGTTCCCATTCAAGTACGACATATGTGTGTTCATTGCCTATGCATTATTCCAAGCAAATCCAATAATTATAATCAACTAATTCGGTCGATTTTGCGACGACGTTTTAGTGACATTTTCTCCCTGAAAATGTCAATTTCGTCGAAAAACTTAGATGCAGCATGTTTGCAAAGATCTTTGATGAAAAGGGTAAATAATGGAAACCGGTAACTGAATTGTGCATTGCATGATAAGCGTGTGCACGTGGACAAGCTTAATGTAAACAAGCAGCTCGAGCAGACAAAAAACAGCCTTCAAGTTATTCTTATCGTACTTGTTTTTTTTTTTTTGGACAAATTTGATGAATGTTTAGTGCGCTTCCTAAGGACCCAGGATATTAACATGGGAATCAATCAACCATAAACAAACAATTTGAGACGACAATATCGTAAATTACATATCGTCGTCTCTAAATCTCTCTTCAGTCAGAAGAGTGCCCTAGATCA